TTCTTCTCTATGGTCTCAGCAATTTGAGCTACGAAGGTACAGAGTCCCTGGATGACTAAGTTATGTTCTCAAAAGTTGATTTTTAGCTTGGTTGTCTGAAACTGAAAATACATTTTCCCCAGAGAAATAATGTGACAAGTGCTAGTTAGGTTTCAGGCCAACTGTGAGAAGCCCATTTAGCCCACATGCAGACTGACAGAGAGGATTAGAGCTGTGACCCACAACACTGTTTCTATGGGAAAATGTGCGGAACAAGGTCTTCCTTCCTCCCCCACTTCCTACCTCCTGTGTATTTACTATAGGAAATGCAGCTCCTGAGTGTGGGTAGCTGGGAGCTGTGGCCTTGGATGCCTTATTCACAGGGCAGAGATATATTCATTCTCTAACTTCTCCTACCCTAACCCTGTCAGTGAGGGGGACTGAGGGTAAGGTGGTAAGTCTTCCCTGACTCCACCTTCTTCAGAGTAGGGCTGTTGGGACTCTTTTGGAGGCGGAAGTGTGTGTGTGTGTGTGTGTGTTTGGGGTGGGGGTGGGGGGGCGGGTGTTTCAAAGCCAGCTAAATTACTTCTGGGGCCCCTTGTTCAAAAAGTAGGAAATGATGCAGCTAAATAATTAAAATATAAAGCTCCCCCCCCCCCCCGCTTTCTTCTGGTTTCTCTCTCTTGATGTGGCATGGTATTATAAATTTAGATGGATAGTTAACTATTACAACTATTAAATATCATTCTAAGTAAGGAAAAAATAAATATTTAAATTAAAATAAATTTTTAAATTACATTTTATATTGTACAATACTAGTGTGAAATACAAATATAATAGCATTTAATTCCCATGTGAAATCACCCAAAAGACACAATTCCAATTTTGTAGCTCATAAAGTAGTCCCTTCTTACCCACAGGGGATACGGTCCAAGACCCGCCCACCCCCCATAGACACCAGAAACTATATATATATATATATATATATATATATATATATATATATATACTGTTTTTCTGATACATACATACTATGATAGTTTAATTTATAAATCAGGTACAGTAAGAGATTAATAGTAATAAAAAATAGAACAATCCTAACAATACACTACAATCAAAATTATGTAAATGGCTTTTGGGCCATTTTTATGTAAAATAAGCACTGTGAGCCCTAGCTAGTTTGGTTCAGTGGATAAAACTTTGGCCTGCATACTGAAGGGTCTCAGGTTTGATTCCAGTCAAGGGCACATGCCTGGTTTTCAGGCTCAATCCCCAGTAGCAGGTGTGCAAGAGGCAGCTGATCAATGATTCCCTTTTATCACTCATGTTTCTATCTCTTTTCCCCACTCCCTACCTCTCTGAAATCAATAAAAATATATTTAAAAAAGTAAAATAAAATAAGCACTGTGATACCTAAATAGTCCATCTCATAACCTAGATGGTTACTAAGAGACTAAAGGGTGGGTAGTTGGTAGCATATACAGCACTGATATGCTGGACAAAGTGATGATTCATATCACAGGCAGGATGGAGCCAGACGGCTAGAGATTTCACTATGCTACTCAGAACAACGCACAGTTTAAAACTTATGAATGCTTATTTCTGGAATTTTCCATTTAATATTTTCGGACTGTGGTTGACCACAGGTAACTGAAACCATGGAAAGTGAAACCGTGGATAAGGAGGGACTACTGTAAACAGGAAAGGGTGGTTCCTTAGAGGACATCAAAGTATTGTTACCAGAGTAGACTGGATACAGGGTAGAAAAAATAATGAATTCTTACTCTCTCCCTGTCCCCAATCTCTTGCTCAACTAGTCTATCCTTCCCATTCATGCCAGAATTATTGTTCTAAAAAACTAGTACGCCATCTAAATTCCTCTCCTACTACCGTTAGCATAAATCCAAAGTTCTGGCATCCAATCAAGGCCTTCTCAATATGATGCTAACTTGTCTTCATTTTCCCAGGCCTGTCGGACTTGTCCCATTTTCCATAGTGTGCCCTGTACATTCATGCTTTTGTACATTCTGCCCTCTCATTCAGCAATGTCTTTTTCCTGATGGACTCAAGCCCAGCTCAAATATTCTCTCTTGCAAACTAACCTTTCCTGAAGTCTCCCATAGTCATCAATTGTTCCTTCCAACAAGACAAGTAATTTGCGTCTCTGCTCAGGAAGCACTCGTCTCAAGCTGCCTTATGGTGTCCTTACCTGTTCCTCTCCTGCGTTCTTCCACTAGAACAGGGCTTTCAAACACTGTTACCAACAGCATAGTTCACAGCAATAATCAGCAATAAATAGAAATACATTTTACGTTGTGATCCAATTGGCACACTTATATATCCCTTATATTTCATTAATTTTAAGAAATACTTTCTCAATTTTAATAAATCTGAAATTAGGATGTAGCAATAGGCTATCATATTTTGGTAGAATTTTCGCTTTCTGAATAGTACATAAAATAATGGCGTATCACAATTGATGACATTGTAGAGTTGTTGAAATATGGTACATGATTGAAACAAAAGTTCTGCAAAACAGTATATACCCTTTGTTATGGGTGATGCGAAGGGCTCTAGTTTTTTGCTCTTATCTCACTAAGAAGAAAAGGCAGGTTATAATCCACCAAAATGAATTCATTATTCACCAATGAAGTTGTGGGAAGTTACCGAGAACTGCAACTATTTACAGCCACACAATAGGATTAAAAACTAATACTTTACAACGCAACCGTCTGCATAAACATGACTTTAATTTCAAGAAAGTCTTGTTCAAGAAGGAGTTGCAAATAACTTAATTGCAGTTTCAGGAACTTCCTCAAAGTCCATTTTTCTGAACAGGCTATTGACTGATCTCGCCTACATCAGGATAAATAGTCCCCTCCTCAAGATGACGCGATTGGGTTTATCAGACAACTGTTTACGCTTCTAGGTTTGCTTCAAGACTCTCCCCTCCCTGTGTACAGTCATCCTGAACAAATTTAGCCGTGCTCTTTCACGGAACAACCTATCTTTTTTTTTTTTTTTTAATATATTTTATTGATTTTTTACAGGGAGGACGGGAGAGGGATAGAGAGTTAAAAACATCGATGAGAGAGAAACATCGACCAGCTGCCTCCTGCACACCTCCCACTGGGGATGTGCCCGCAACCAAGGTACATGCCCTTGACAGGAAGCGAACCTGGGACCCTTCAGTCCACAGGCCGACGCTCCTTCCAATGAGCCAAACCGGTTAGGGCCGGAATGGCCTATCTTAAACCAGATCCACCAAATCTTCAAACTACCCTACTCTTGACCTCCCTCTTTGAGACACTACTAAGACTGTCAACGTAGTGGTCTCTCTTACTGCTGTAAGCAATACACTTGGCTTTGCTTCATCCACAGGTTATTTTGGGGGTGTCTGTTGGAAGTCAGGAGCTGACCTTGCATCTTAAGCTCCCTGAGGAAAGGCACCGTGCTGGTTACTTACTCTCCTCCCCGCTGCCTCCTGGTAATCCAACACTGATGGGTGAGGGAGGAAAGGTGTCTTAGGAATCTGCGGCGAGCAGGGGCAGTAAGGGATGCAGGTGGGGAGCTCTTGTGGCAGAGAGAGAGGCTGCATCTACAAATTCAAAATCCTGCGGTTGGAACAAGCCGCCCCTTCCTCCCGGTCTTACTCACCATCTCCTCTTCACACCTGGTACTCAGATGGTAGCGTCTGAAATATAAAAAATACAAAACATTTAAACCCCATCCCAACCACTTAACTTCAAGACACAAGAGAATCTTTGAAGTGGTCTTTGCCTCACGCTTGAAGCTTGAAGATGGTCATAATAATGGACACGCGCTGCCAAACTTTTGGTTCTCATTCAGGAATGGTGATGAAGTCACTGAAAAAATATGTTGACCTGTGTCCCTACATAAATTTCACATAAACCCTGGCAAGGTTCCTTGGACTCAATAAGCCACGATAAAATACGTTTGCATTTCAGCCAAGCGGGCCCATTAGGCACCAGTCCGTATTTCCCATAATCTCCCAGTATGTATTCCTCTCCACTTCAGCTCTTCTGTCATATTGGCCTAGACCAGCGATTCTCAACCTGTGGGTCACGACCCCTTTGGGGGGTCGAATCACCCTTTCACAGGAGTCGCCTAAGACCATCGGAAAACACATATATACTTACATATTGTTTTTGTGATTAATCACTATGCTTTAATTACGTTCAATTTGTAACAATGAAAATACATCCTGCATATCAGATATTTACATGACGATTCATAACAGTAGCAAAATTACTTATGAAGTAGCAACGAAAATAATTTTATGGTTGGGGGTCACCACAACATGAGGAACTGTATTAAAGGGTCGCAGCATTAGGAAGGTTGAGAACCACTGACCTAGACCCAGTTGCTGCAAACCGCCCCCCCCACTCAGCACCCCCCGCCCCCCCCCCCCCCCCAGGGCTCTCCTGCTCCCAGCATTTGCTCACACCGGTCCATAGCGGGAGCACCCTCCCCCTCACCTCCTCAAGTTAAATCAGTGCCTTCTGATAGAGCTGAAGGTCACCCTGGGGACCTCACTCAGAAGTCTTCCTCCATCCCTCAGGCAGAATTAATGGCCTTCTGAGCAGTGGCCCTCTAACAGGCTGGCCCTGTAAGTGGGCTCGCGCCTTCTAGTGCACCATCTTCAGGTCCAGCCCTGCTCCCGGCCCATCCTGGGGACAGGGACCAAGGCCTGTTCCTGCTGGTAGCCCAGGGCCCTGCATGTAGTAGCTGCGCAGTAAACGGGCCTCAGGAGTTGGCACTTCGTGCTTTTGTGCTGGGGCAAGAGCGGAGCAGGAGGCTCGTCCGCCCGCCTCCCCGCCAGCCCCCACCGAGGCGGCCGACGGGCCCGCGTGACTCCGGCCGCCCCCGCCGCGCCCAGTCACGGGCGTTGGAAATTCCGGCGCGTGCGGACGCGCGGGGCGGCGGGGGCGGAGGGAACCCGTGGAGTGAGCCTGTGACGTGGGGGGCGTGGCGGCGAGAGGCCCCGCCCCTCTCCCTCTCCCTCTCCCTCTCTCTCGGGTCGGGGTTACATGGCGGCGACTGCGGCAAAGCGGGAGCCTCCGAGACGCCGCTGCCGCCCGCAGAGCCGGAGACCGGAGCCGACCCTGGGGGCTGTCCGCGGGCCCCGCACGCCCTCGATGAGTCGGAGGAGTCCCGTGAGTGTGTGTGTGTGTACGTGTGCGGGGCGCGCCGCGGGCGGCTCGGGAGGGCGCCTCGGCGGGCCCGGCGGAGGAGCCGGCTCCCTCCTCCATTGTGTGTGACCCTCCGGCGGCCGCCGTTCAACAAAGGCGCTTTTGTTCTACCTCCCGCCCGCCCGCCGGCCCGCCCGCTCGGGCTTGGCCGGCGGGTCCCCGCGCGGGCCGGCGGGCCGGGGTCCCCGCGTGGGGCCGGCGGTGCGGCCGGCGCGCCCCTCCCACCCGTGCGGCACGCCCCTCGCCGGCAGCGGGTCCCGGCCGCGCCCGCCGGTCCCGAGCCCGGCGTGCCGCCGCGGCCCCTCCGCCCTCGCCAAGTCCGCGGGTTCGAAGCCCGGCCCGGCGGGCTGGGAGGGGCGGCCCGGAGCCGGAGGTGGCGCGGAGTCTCGCCCGCCTGGCGCGCTGCCGGTCGGAAGGCTCCCGCGTCTCCTCCCCCTTCCCAGGCCAGTGACTCGGCCTCAGCTGACTCCGCCGGGCAAAGTCTCCGGCGGCCTCGGCTAAGGCGCAGCGCGCACCCTCGCCGGGCGCACACCTCCCCGGCTCGCCGCAGAGCCGTGGGTCCTCTGCCTAAGTTTTGAGTCTGGCCGTACAGGAGACGCAGCAAACTCGTGAGTCGGAATCCCCCTTTTCCTCCTGCAGCCTGGCCTTCGTCGCGCCCGGGACGGGCCGGGGAGCGGGGGGCCGGGAAAGGACCCCCGTGGGAACGGGTTTTGTCAGTGCACTGCCGGGGGCCTGCGCCGCGCGTTGCCGTTTGACTCGATGAGGTGCGCGGAAAAGGAAAGGTGTTTTGGCCTCCTTTGTTCCTAGTTTTGTAGGAAGACTCAACTGGGGCAGGTGGTAGGTGGGAGCTCCGGGAAGCAGGATCTTCTTTTTATCCCTTTCCTGGTTTTTCTCTTGCTTGCTCATTGGGAAAAGTCCAGTGAAGGAGTCTGGTGATGTGGAATTGGAAGCCTACTGGGTTTGCAGCAAAAGTCGTGTGGGTTTTTTTTCCCTTCAGTGCTACAAATGCCCTTAACAGTCAGTCTCAGTATTAACTTTTTTTTTTTTTTTTTTGTTTTACGCATACAAGATGATGTGTTGAGAAAAAAATTAACGGGACAAAATGGAGCGCAAACAGCTTCAGAGTAATTTTCTGATTGCTCGATTCTTCCTGCCTTGTTATATTTTCAAGTTCTGATTGGACATAGCCTCTCGTTTCCACGTTGGGAAACTGAGCTGGAAAGAGTAATCTGACTAGGAATCCTAGTCACTGAATGGAGGGTCCAAAGAGGGGATTGCCTCTAGAGTTTCTCTTAGAAACGCCAGATTTTTTTAACGTTTGAAAAATAGTGTTTTATTGGGTGGAAGAAACTTTGCATGTCTTTAGCGAGTAGTAGTTCAAACATGTTTATGAAGGAAGGGCTTGCTATGTGCCAAGGTGTGTAAAGTCCTTTCACACACATGCATGTTACATCACTTAAGAGTATTGCCTGTGAAACTTGTAAAATTGCTTACTGGTGTCCTAAATTCAGTAATTGCTGTCATCCAGGAAATGCCAGATTTGAGCAGGACATGTTTTTATCATCTAGAAATTATTATTCAGATTAAAAGGAAAAAAAAACCTTCTGGGAAATGGAGAATTGTTTATAAAAACCTTTACATATCACCATAGTTTGAAGGTCACTTATTTACAAAAGAGGATTAGTGTTTGATTACTTTCTGTAAATTAAGAATCTAGAGAAGATTGATTTGAAGATCAGTTAATTTTGCAGTAGAAAAAGCACATGTTCCAGTGACAAGTCTTAGTCCCAAATGTGTTGCAGTGTTTTGCATAAGTTCATTTAACCTTCGTGGGAATTCATAACTGACAAAATGGAAAGGTTTGCTGACTCAGGCTGGTACATTGCTGAAGGGGATGGGGTCGGGTAGGAGGAAGCTTGAAGTGCTGCAAGTTTTGAGTTGGGTGATGACTCATCCTGCCCACGGGCTGCTACGTGGCCTTTTTTTTTTTTTTTTTTTAATACTCTGTAGTTTTTTAAATGATAGGCTAACATGTTTCTGTCCACATTATAATTCTCTCTTTCTCAGGAGGAACCACAGTTTCTCTAAAAAAGTGATGGCTTCTTAAATTGCATTTCAAAAGGTTATCATATATCCTACAGGTGTTGGAACATGTATTGAAAGATAAAATTGCTGGTCAGTTGCTGAAATTAAATGTTTGGTCCTAACTGGTCTTTGGTTCTTATTGAGAGAGATTTGTTACAGATTATTTACAAAGGACAGATAGTACTTTTATGGTAGAAATTAACCTTATGTTTTCATTGGTAATGTAAAAGTTATCTTTATAAAATCTACAAATTAGTTTTAAGTGGAAAAGGTACAGAAATATTGCATCTGAACATGAGCATTCCACTCTGATGGAATTATACATAGTGCTTTCTCCAGATCTAAATGAGTTTTCAGCTTAACAAAGATAACTTGAAATAGATAGGTATTGTTACAGGCACTGTATATATATATAAAATTTTTTAGAAAGGGAGGAAGAGAGAGGGAGAGAGAAACATTGATGTGAAAGCAAAACATCCATGGTCGTCAGCTGCCTCCTGCATACCTCCTACCCCAGGGGATCAAGCCAGCAACTAGGCATGTGCCCTGATCCCAAATCAAACCGGGCAACCTTTTGGTGCATGGGACAACATCCAGCAGCTACACCGGCCAGGGTGGCACTGTTTTTCATCAGTTTTTAAAAAAGATAAGCTGAATGTACAGTTCCAAATTTAGGACATACACTGAAATTTGGTAATTAAGATATTTTGACTGATTCTAAAAAGCAACTGTTTAGCAGGTTGCCTTAAAATAAGATTGAGAAGAAAAAAAAATTGAGACTGGCAGCTTGTTTTAAAGATGAAAAGAAAAAACTCCCCATTCCCTCACTTCTTTTTGTATACTATTTTCTCAAAATGACTTATTTGGAGAATTTTGTGAGCAATAAAGTGTATTGTTAATGTGAATTAAATATTTGGAGAGATTTTGGAAGAGCATTGCATAATTTATATAGAGGAACTTAAAAAGGTTTAATTCAAACCTTAAAAATATATTTCCTACTAAAAGAAATATAAAAATACAAGTATAAAAGTATTACAGATTTTCAAAGCATTCTATCACTTAGAGGTTGAACAAGTACTTCCTTTGTGTGTGTTTTTAAGATCATAGGTAATTAGCTGTTGTGCATAATTAAGAATTTATAAACAAACTGAATATCTTAGCCTCTTTTCAGTGAGGTATATTGCCTTATGAAATGGTTAGCCTTACCACTGCTATGTGGTTCCTTGTTCCTAGTCCCACATGAACCATGAACTCCTGTTAAAATGGAAAGAAGATGCCTCAAAAGTAAATTCTTTGTGGCATTGTTGGCTGCCTCTTGTCATCTCCTTCAGCTTGTTTTGTGAGCTGTTACATTACTCTAGCCTGCTAATGGTAAGGGGATTTAGGTCAGTTTTATTGCTCCAGAGCCATGACTGAGACTTTACAAAAACAACAATAATGTTATTTTAGTTAATGGTTTTTTCCAGGGAGTTGTTTTTCATGTGGAGCTGATGCTTTTAAGGTAACAGTGTAGACTGCATCCAGCATTGTTTTTCCCCCCTCAATGAACTGCATCGTTAGAAAATAGAATGTGCCCCTCTAATAGTTTTAAAAAGTTTGTCTTTCCTATGTGCCAGCCTTTTAAATCCATTTCTGAAAAGTTGTACAGAGATCAAATGTTTATATAGCAAACAACGTTTTCCATTTAAATTTATGTCTTTTCATGAAAAAACAATGGTATCACAAAAATTGTTAGAACTCTAGCATTCACTTTAGGAAAGAGCCTATCTCTGCAGAGAGTATGAAGTCTCTGTGCATTTAATTCTGTACAGCCATAAAACTATAAAACGTTAGTCTGTACAAAAGGGTCAAGGACATTATCTTGCCCTTGGCACATCATTTGACAGCTAAAGAAACAAGGTGCAGAGAGATCTAAGCATGGTGGGAGTTTGTTCGAAGTGCAGAATCTTGACCCCGTTTTATGACCTACTGAATTAGAATCTGCATTTTAATAAGATTTGCAGGTGATTCAAATGTGCATTTCTGGGAGCACTGCTAAGTGATGTATACATAGTTGCTCAGCTGATTAGTAACTGATTTGGAAAATTCAGGTCTTGAGTTGCCCTTTTAATGGGCCCTCCTGAAAAAAGTCAAGAGGGAAATTGAGGATATAATTACTGTCCAATAGAAGTTTTTGTGATGATTAAAATATTCTGTTCTGTGCTGTCCAATGAGGTAGCCGCATATAACTATTGAGTACTTGCAGGTGGTGCACCTTAGGGACTGAATTTTTAATTTTATTTCATTGTAATTAATTTATATTTAAACAGCTGCAGATAGCTAGTGGCTACCATATTGGACAGCACAGATCTGGGTGATCTTTACCCACATTAAATTTAAAATAATCTAAGTTATAATTTAATAACTGATTAGGCTCAATTTAATAATTTCCCTCTTCATTTATAAATTGGAGATATGGGAGGTTTCTAACTACCTATTTTTCTAGTATGCTCAAATATTATTTTAGTAATTAAAGCAGTACCAGTTTTCTGATTGATACTCCTGTGTTCAATAAAGTAGATAATATCAGTTACAAGAATGTATATTTTTCCTTTTGTCTCAATAAAATTATTTTCACTTGGACTAAAAAATTAAAAATAGCTGTTAAATAAGTGTTTCTTCATTATCTTGAGAGCTTTGAGGGGACAGTTATTCTCTTGGCCTAGTAGAACCTCCAGGCTTGTTGGCACTTGATAGTTGCCAGATTGATATGTCATTTGTTATTTATTCCAGGTACAGAAACATTGAGTGGTTCTTAACCTCCCACCTTATGCATTGGGAAGATTCTAACCCTAGAGTACGTCAGACTGGCCTGTGTCCAACTTTTGACATTTACTATA